CAGAGGGTGCATGCACTTGCTAGAGAGAGACAGGGAGAGAGAAAGAGAAGGAGAAATCACCCCCTAGTGGGGCATGGTCATGCCATAGTCCCTTTATCCATCCATCTAGTCTATTTCTCCATCCCATCAGGATTTTGGGTATACACACACATGTGCCTGGCATGTTTCTCAAGCCACCAGGCCCAGAATTCATATTGTGGTCAGCTATGTGGGATCCAGCTCTCTTAACCAGTAGGCTATGGGGCTGGCCCATGTATGAACATATTCTTAAAGTAATATAGCAGGTTCCTCTCTGAGTCTTCTTTTTCTCATTGGTAAATATGGTGGTTGTAAAGATGCAGTAAAATAATATACCTACAGATGGAATCATGAACAGGTCCAACCCAGAGTAACATGTGGTTACTAAATGGTAAACAGTGACTGTTATTGCCATTGGTGCACACTATCGAGTTAGGAAGAGAGACACAGCAGGAAAGGACATCCTAAGCCACAGATCAAAGATGGCAGAAGGCAAGTCAAGGCCAAGGCTGAAACCAGCACAGCTGGCTCAGAGAGTGATGATGATGTAAGGATGGGATGGGAAATAAGGGCTGGAGGATGGTTAGGTGGTAGAATATGATGTTTAGTAAAAGTATAAAGTCTGAGCATTATTCCATAAACAAGAGAAAGCATTCAAAGCAGAAGCATAACATCAGACTGTTTTGGCAAGATAATTTCTGAGACAGTGTCCAGAATATGTCAGATTGGGCAGAGCTTGCAGTTGGGAATACCTGTTCTGAGGCTATGGTCTTGAGCTAAGGTGATGGAAATAGAAAAGGAAGGACATGTAATGGGTGGATGACATGGAATAAGTTTAACGATAGAGAAAGCGTGTATCTGAAAAGGTAGGATTTGCTCCTGGGTAAATGGGAGGGCCATAATGGAAGCCAAGAAACCTAACCAGAAAAGTAGGTCCAAGGGTAAAGATGATGATTCATGTCTGAGGCACACTGTGATTAAGGTGCTATTGGCATATCATACTGGAAACATTGGCCTGAAGCTTTGAAGTGGGATGTGGAGAGAAAGTTGATTTGGAATCAAGATTCCTACATCAGATGGATTAAGCCGAGCTAGACAAGGGCTGAACTTTAGGGCACTCAGAGTTGGTTCCAGAAGTTCGCCAAAATAGACACTTACGCTAAGTCATGTGGTGGGCAGTGGTGACCACTGTTTCTCCTGAAGCTGTGTTTGCAAAGCAAGTCATTGTCTCTACTGAAGAGTATAAGCTGATTTGAAATGACCAGTGAGGATTGGAATAGATGCGTATTCTTTTTCTATTGCTGCTGTAACGGATCACCACAAACTCGGTAATGTTAAAACAGCACAAAATAATTATCCCACAGTTCTGGAGGTCAGAAACCTGACACAGATCTCACTGGACTAATTGCCAGAACTGTATTCTTTTCTGGACACTCTATGAGGAGATACATTTTCTTGCCTTTTTCAGCTTCTAGAAACTACCCATATTTCTTAGCTCGTGGCCCCTTCTTCCGTGTTCCAAGCGAGCCACATTGTGTCTCTCTCATTCTCTCCCTTACCGACATGTCCCTGACTCTTTTTTGCCCCATATTTTACTTTTAAAGATTCATGGTTACATGAATGCTCTGAATAAATCAGGACTCTCCCTCCATCTCAAGATCCTTAACTTGGTGTTGATAGTTGGGGTGGCTAGATTCCACATGGCTGACTGTGTGGTTAAAGTCTCAGACCCTGCAGCTTGAGAAACACACTGGGTGCATTCATGTGCATGCCCCAAATCCCAAAAGTAGGGCGAGACTGAAGAGAAGGGATTGAAGTGTGGCCATGTCCGTGGTGGGAGGTGTGTGTGTGTCGGGAGGGGGGGGAGGTGGCAGGGGCTCTCTCATTTCTCTTTCTCTCTCTTTCTCTGTCTCTCTCCAGTGAGTACATGAACCCTCTGCCAAATTTAACACCAAACGAAAGATCTTTAACTTAATCACACATGCCAAGTGCCTTTGCCACTGTCAGGTAGCACAGCCACAGTTCTGGCTCAGTCTACCATGAAGGATAACAGAGACTATAGGGAAACTGAAGGCCCTTTGCTCCCAAGGATCACCTACCTATCAGTGGGGATTATTGACATTTAAAAATGGTATTATAAAAATGATACACGCTCAATGAAAAAATTCAAACAAAACAGAAAAGTCAAAAGAAAAGGGCACAAATCACTTAAGAGCCTGTTTCCTAAATAACCATTGCTGACATTTTAGTGAATTTCTTTTCTGATGTTTTTCTAAGACTCTCTGCACATGTCTAGATATAAGAAGGTGTATATTCATTCTCTGAGGACAGAGCTAAAAGTGAGAGAAAATTAGAGGTGGAGAGGAGACAAGTCGAGGAAGTTCATGTGGGTGCTGTCATGCTGGTTGTTTACGTAGGTGTGAAGGCATCTGCTGAGAGGGAGACTGAGGCAAGTTCTGGAGGCTTGTGGGGGAGCGAGGTGGGTTGTGACAGCTGCTATGGTGAAACCATAGGGAATCAGCTAGGGATAAATAGGGATGTCTCAGCTGATGGCCTGAATTTGTAGTGCGTATAAACAGCCTGCTTACATGATTGGCTCCCGCACCCTCTACATTCCTACAAAGAGGGTGGAGAGAACAGATGGTAAAATCGGGGTTGAGGACTGGCAAAGCTGACAGAGCAAAGGATTAGACTGGGCCCAAAGGGCTTAGGTACAAGTGAAAGCATTGTTACTTTTTTCTTACAATTTCCTCAGAAATTACCATAGTTTCTGAATTATGTTAATGCTTTAACAACCAATTATTAACACTGCATTGTGTGCTCACATGGAAAGTAAGAAACATGTACCACACTCAGAAAAACTGACTACAGTGGTGTCCATCTCAGAGTCAAGACTGGATCCTGATTCAAAGAAAAAACCTATATAAACAGAGTTAGGAGACAGAGATTTGAACACTTAATAGTTGAAGTGTGGAATTATTATTATTATTTATTTATTTATTATTTTTTGCTATAGGGCGTGTGCGCTAACCCGAAAGACAGAGAGAGACAGAGAGACAGAAAACGAGAAATCCCCCCAGGGGAGATGGCCACACCACAATCCCTTCTCCTCCATTCTCCTCTCTAGATCTTGGGCACGCACACACACATGCCTGGTGTGAGTTTAAGCCACCAGGTCTGGGACTCAAACCACTGTCGACTACATGGGAGCCCAGCGACATAGCCATTATGCTAACTGCTGGTTCCATCTGGTGTGAGCTTTAAGCTGCTGGATCCAGGACTTGAACCACAGTTAATTGCGTGGGAGTCCAGAGACATAACCATTATGCCATCTGTTGGTCCCTGGGGTCAGCAATTCTAAGTGCGTGGTCCCTAACACCTCGGCCATGTCAAACTCAAGCTCTCTGGCCTGGAGCACAGTTTTCTAGGGCTCTTTGACACTTTGTTTTTATTTATTTATTTATTTATTTATTTATTTATTTAGGCTCTTTCCTATTTGCTAACAGAGTTCTCTTTTTTTGGAGAGGTTTTTCTATAGAGCGCGTGCGCTTGCCAGAAAGGCAGAGAGAGACAGAGAGACAGAAAGTGAGAAATCACCCTCCAGGGAGATGGCCATGCCGCAATCCCTTCTCCATTCTCCTCTCGGGATCTTGGGCACGCACGCACACGCACCCAGAGTGAGTTTAAGCCACCGAAGAACCACAGTCGACTATGTGGGAGTCCAGCGACATAGCCATTACGCCAACTGCTGGTCCCGACACTCTGAAAATATTGCCAGGCTTCCCTGCTTCCTTGGAGTAGGGCACCACATCCCTGGGACGACGAGGTCTCCAGGCAAGGACAGCTCCTGCTGGGTGTGTCCAATATGGTTCTCAGTGTTCAGGGAGCAGGTTATTCCTGGTGACGTCATGGATAACAATAGGCCTTGCGCAATCAAGGAGGCTATGGATGGGGCCGGCAGGGGGCGTGGGGCAGGGGGCGTGGCACTGGACTCTCACATGGTCGACTGTGGTTCGAGTCCCAGACCTAGTAGCTTGCTTTCTCACTTTCTCTCTCTCTCTCTCTCTCTCTCTCTCTGGTCAAACTAAAATAAACTAATAAAATTAAATAAAATAATTCTTTTTTTTTTTTTCTTTCTTTTTTTTTTTTTTTTTTGAGTGTTTTGCGATC